GACAGCTTCTTTAAAGTCTGCATACCCTGGGATCGGATCCGCAGTCTCACCTTAGACTAGAGCAGCCAGTGGTCTACCCAATATCCCGTATCGCGCACTGCTTTTGTTAGTCGCACGCTTGACGTTCGTCCGCACAACCGCGTAGTTACCAGCAACGCAAATGTGGGTGTATTCGTTGTGCCTTTTTGCAGCTGACGAGAGGAACGGCAGCCCCTGTGAGAAGAAGGTTGTTCTCACCAGAATCTTTGAGAGAAGACGTCCACTGCTACTGCAACGGTAGACCCCACGACGAAAGTGGATTCTGTTTCAAGTAGACTGGTCATGATGTAATCCTACACCGAATGCTCCAGGCCGTCTGGGTATGCCCGGCTTCGGTACAGGCGCAAGAAGGAGTGGAGACCCTAAGGGGATCCTCCTTTCATATCGCCATGGTCTGCCGCTGTCTGAACGGAGGCGTTGGCGAGTTTGTCGACACCCTCTCCACTGGTGCGGGGTCGGACGCAAGTATACCAAATAAGTGCTGACAAGAGGCAAGGCACGTCGATAGATTGTTGTTTGAAATTGATGATGGCCACTACTACTGTCAAGGAATTTGCGCATTATTTGGAGTAACTGATGGAAGACTGTGCATCTGGGCCCATCTGTGCCCCCCTCTTTCTCTTCGTCTCTTCCAAAGCCCACTAGGCCTCAACAATGAGACAGGAAGTGGTGGCAGACCAAATTTAGAGTTCCCGTTTGTGCCTGCCACGAAATGGTTGCACCCCTGCAATATGCCAGCGCGGTGTTACACGCAAATGCTCGGCGTTGGGCGGATTCACCGGCCGACCTGGTCGGGTATAATTAGCCATTCCAAAGAGGAGTTGTTTGGGCCTGACTGTAGCGTCCAACACGGGAGCTGGGCATCGAAGCGAAATGACCACCTCCGGCTGGTGGATCGTCAGCTCAGCCGAAAACCCAGCAAGGTGGCTGCCTCTTCTTGCCCATACCATATGGTACTTTGTCAGCCACAAGTGATGAGTACCATAACTGGCTGGGGAAACGGAGGCGATTTGTGAATCATCTACCTGCTCCCCTCTCTCTCTCCCGGTACTCGTAGTGTTTCATTGACGAGGCAAATGAAAACGACTTGAGATGGACGAGGGTGCGAAGTCCGGTAGGACAAAAGGTGTCCTCTTGACTAAACGCGCACGAGAAGGATTTGTGGATCTCATTGACAAAGTCAAAGAAAGCCATAAAAATCACATAAAGAAGACGTCATCTGTGGCCCGGCCATTAGGCCGGAGGATTTGCAAATTACCCCGTTAGTTGGTCACCTCCCAACCGCAACCTTTTGGCAGGTCGTAATAGTTGAAAAGCACGCCAGATTTACAATGGGGGTGAAACTGTCTGGTGGATCAGCGTGAGAAAAGTGACAGCAGGGTTTGCCCTATTCTCTGTTCCTCCCTCTTCCCCGGCATGTACCACTGGCAAGTTCGAGTCAGGCCCGGGCGCATTGGCTGAAGTGATCTCCATTCTCCATCTCACACGAGCCACGCATCTACTCGGACCCCGTTTAGGTATGACAGGACAGGATTCCAAGGAGATCGCATGAACACTTGATAATTCGTCTGTTGTAGCCGATGTTGGTTGATACGCTGTGAGACACTATCATGACGGCTCACTTTTGGCGCAGGGAAACAAAATGAGAATCCCCCATCTGATCTTCTACGACTATTAACATTATTATTACTATTATTCCGCCGCCGCCG